ACACACACACACACACACACACACACACACACACACACACACACACACACACACACACAAACCACCACAAGTGTCCCGACCCACGATTCTATCTCTGCAATTGGCTCCAACGTGTGCCTGCACGAGGTCCCAGCTGCTGATTGGCTGTGACCGGTTTTGTAGAGGGTCTTCTAAATCCTCTCCACTCGCTCCGTAGGTGCCCTTCAGGCTTTTACCACATAAATCAGTCTGGCCTGGGTGGTAAAGTCATCACGTCCGCTGTGTCCACATACACTGCCTGTTAGAGCCACGATCACACGGAGTGTGCTCACTTTGAAAGGTCACCAAACCTGTAAGAAGGGTAATGGCTGTCACCTCTCGCTCTGCAATAGAGTTTCAAACAATATTATGTTTTTATTGAATACACCAACACATCACATTAAAACAGTTTAAAGCTTTGATAAGGATTTGAAATATGACCACATATGTGAGTGGTACACATTTTTTGTGAACGCCTGCCTGCCGAATGCAGAGCATTTCTGGGTAAAACACAGTTGTGACAGCTTTAGTATTTTTACCATGGGTGGTCTTCATTGAACAGGTTTTGCTCAGCTTTCATCCGTTACACTACAGTATCATTCACATTCATGTCTGGATGAAAGCTTCTCTGTCAGCACTGTGTGCAGGAACAGTGCAGAGGATCCAAAGGCATTAAATGCTCAAAGGGAGGCTTTTAAGAGTACTTTGAGCAGCTGGATATACAAACGCAGAAAGGTGCTGCCAAACACAGATTCTACAATCAATGTCTATGCTAATACATCCCAATTCAATTCAGAACAGCTAATTCTTCAGCTTTACATCTATCCGCAGCGCTAACATGGTTCAAAGAAACGGGCTGCTTTGCTCGCAGCTGAGAACCGAGTTGTAAATTCTGGCCTGTCTCATCTTTGTTTATGTGACTGGAGATTCCCCCCGAGTCCTGCTCGAGAACTTTGTCACCCAGGTTTTCACTTCCCACAAGTTCCCTGCAGTACAAACAAACCACTGATTTATTTGTTCAGTTTGGGTGTTTGTGTAGGGAAAGAGAGGGTTTGAGACAAAGGAGATGACGAGACAAGTGTTTGATAACAATTAGAACTTAAATGTACCATGTAGCAACCAACCATACAATAAAGAGGAAAACAAAATGTGCCAAGCATTCAACTAAGGGTTGTCCTGAAACAGATTTTTAGGCAAGTTGGGTTAAATTCATGTTTCACCTGCTTTAAATGTTATCAACCCATTAAATGATTGTTGTTAGTGGTTATCAGTTCCCAGTGTTGTATAAAGTACCTCAAAGTGATATTTGAGTAAAAATATGAGTATCTTATCAGAAAATTATTTTGGTAAAAGTTAAAGTCTCCTCTAAGAATATTGCTTCAGTAAAAGTCTTAAAGTACCTGATTTTTTGTACTTAAGTATCAAAAGTAAATTTCTGACATAAAATGTACGTAAGTATGCGTAAAATGTAAGTATGCAGTTACATTTTCCAAAATAGCCTTTATTGGGAGGTGACTTCAACAAAAATAAACATTTTTATCTAAAAGTGTGATGGATTGTGTACAAAGTAATACAGTGTCAGAACAGTATATACTGTATTTATACTTCTCATTCAATCACAATTAAATTCACACTATCCAGGAGGCACAATTTTCAGGATAGTATTCTTTTAATGACAAACAGGAATGAAATTGGAGATTACTACTTTTTTTAAGGAGTAGAAAGTACAGATAATTAATTGTGTGAAAATATGAGTAGAAGTAAAAGGTAAGCTGAAAAATAAAGTACAGATAACCTAAATTTCTACTTAAATACAGTAACAAAGTATTTGTACTTAGTTACTTTACAACTCTGTCAGTTCCATACATTGTCTTCAGGTTATCCCCCTGTACCTCTTAGTAGGTGGAAAGTAGGTGTCAAACAATCCACTTCAGCTTTACTATGATGACGATTCAGAAGACAATCAAAAGCAAAACCTTCAAGTTTTCACAAGATTGAAGTGCTTGAAACATTTGTAAACTGTGTGTACAGATAATAAAATATTCCAAATACAACTGTCTGACCTTGAGTGCATACTTTTGTATCTCTTCCAACTGGAAGCCAGTCAAAATACTGCAGACACCTGCCAGGGCTGGGAGTGTGTTGCTACAACCTCCAGGCTGAATGACATTATTCACACTCAGCTGAAGACACAGAAACACAACTATCACACTTACTTGTAACATTTTGATCTGACTGGGCGAAGCCTGTTGCAGTCACAGATAGCTTTTTAAGAGAGACCTTGACCTGAAGGCAGCCATGCATGTTTTGTTTTGTTTTTACAAAGGTACAAACTCCACACAGAAACACACCAGACCTAATTTAGGGTTTGAACCCATGACCTTCTAGCTGTGAGGCATCAGTACTAGCCACTAAACCACCTTGCTGTCCATACAAAACGGTCCAATTATAACAAACTTGTTTTCACTTGCAGCTTCTCAACTCTCACTTCTTCTCATTTATGACTCAGTTGCAGTCATAAATAAATGTCAGCAAAATTATAATTTACACAAAAAGCTCAAAAAACTTTTTTTTCTGTCCAACTTTGCGTCCCAAACGAAGCAGGTGTCTGTGAGGCCTAACAAGCTCTTGTAGATGACGTCACACGCACTAACGAAGCTGTCTCCACGCTGCATTCAGGGCCCAGCTCCTTTCAGTAATTTATGTGCAGCAAGGACGAGGAACGGAATAACAGAAAAGGGGGAGACGTTAAGAGCAGAGGCAGCGGGCTTGAATATTAGTGAGGTGCCCTCCCCTGCAGAGCGAAACTGTGTCATAATGCTGGACTGCTTTTATGATTCAAATCAAGGCCATTGTCTCTGCGAGCGACCGGCTCTGCGCTGTGCAGCAGAACAACTGAGCTACTATATAGCCTGCTGCAGAAAATGAGTCCACAGCGGGCTGAAGAGCTGCCGGCTCAATTGAGAGAGTCGAACCGAAACAAAAAAGAAAAACCAAGACTTAGATTCTCAACCTTGGTCGTGGGTGAAACAGAGATACCCTCTGTCTGTTTGTACCCTGTAAACACAGTTCACTCTCTTATCGGATGTTAATCAGCTCTAAACATGAAAACAAGCAAGCTTGCACGTAATTGGACACGTTCCAGTCTGCCTAAACAATACCAAAACTATACAGTCTGGAAGGTATTTTTGTTTATTGTGCGTTCATTTTAAACAAGTTACAAAATAATAAAATTTTGAGCCTCGTGGATTCATTTGTTTTCATTCAATATTTTTGCTTTAAAGTACATATTTATACTGTCTCTTAGATCAGGATTTAGATAATTAAACTAATTAGACAACTTTACAGACAGTCTTGAGCTTTTTGTCATCCTAAGTTTTGTTCTTATGTATGTTTGTTGAAAAGTTGAATCTGCTGAAGTTCTGTTTTGATGAAAACAAATGCCTAGTTTTATCCCCTATCAAAAAGCCTTAAGCATTTTATGACTTTGTCTCATGAACTGAACAGATTTTAATGAAACTTTAAGAAAGACATTAACATTTGAAGGCAAAGTCATGGCTGCCACATCCAATTAACCTTAAAATCACAAAAATGACCATCATTCAGTCTGTATTACAAAAATTATGCTAATACAAAACATATGCTACAATTTGGTGCGGTTGTAGCTAATTATCATTCACAACACATAACGCTACTCATTGCACAAGACCTTTACTAAATATCTCAGCACTTCTYTTGGAGTCAACCCTGTTTGTCTGTTAGCAAAACATTTCATGAACCACTGGGTGCATTTTAATGGAACTAGAGTTTAACTGAATGAACATCTACAGCCATATTACTTCTGGAGTCAGCATGAATTGGATTGGATAAAAGCCTAAAGCTATAAACAAAAGAAAAAACAAACAGACACACAAGAATGATAGGCACATTAAAAAAAGATTGTTGCATAAAAAGATCAAGTTCTGTGAGCTGATAAAAACTGTTTTCACATCTGTTTTTATGTCAAACAGATAATGAAGTAATATTAAACTAAAATTTGATGTGATAGCTGAATCATCCCTAACATATAACTTGAGTTGACCTCACATAAAACTTGATATTTTTATGTTTAAGGTTTGAATAAAACTGTCACAAGATTATCTCAGTCTAAAACAATGCTTGGATTTTTAATTAAAAAAGTGTATTGTGTATTTATTTAGTTGATTTATGACATAATAATAATGACATTTATTTGAATAACAGAATTGCGTACATGCACGCACACGTATGTCAGTGTGCGCGCGCGCGCTGCTGTGTGTGAGTGTGTTGAGGAGGAGGAAGAGGAGGAGGCGGAGTGAAACCAGACGCTGGGACTCATCGGGAAGGAAAACTTTTTTTTTCAAAAGTTTAGGACGCGAGAGGAGAATCGCAGCAGCAGCAGCGGCCGAGCTGCGGAGGATATTAACGGGACGGGAACTTCAGGGAAACGATCCCATCAGATTATTTGGAGATTACAAATTTCTGTGAACTCTAAACAAAGGATGTATTTCTTCTGAAAAAAAGACAAACCTGCTTTTAAACGCTGGGAACTTTTCCACAGAAATGGAAGGGAATGCCCAATGGATTATTTTCTCCTTTTTATTATGTTTGCATGCTGGTGAAGGTAAGTTCAGCTGCTGAATTATAAATCACAGCACGTGTTTGTAGATCCACAGGTTGTCTGGACTTGTTGGGACAGATGACCCTCCCGGTCCGGACCGGTCCACGTGAAGATGAACTACTAATGAGCTGAAGCTTATCTTAAAAACAAATCAATGACATAATTTAATTCGCATATTTTACATATTATTTATTAACTCAAGTTTGTTATTAAGCGGACAACTTTCTCAAAGCCCCTCAAAGTGATTAAATCCCCTGCAGAGAAGAGCAGGTTGGAGCAGATAATCAGGTTCCCATCATGCTAGAAAGTTTCACATGATGTTCTCACTAAAGGAGAAATAAGTCCTGGTTAAAGTTCCTTTATTTTGTAAATACAAAGATCAACCTTCTCTGCTAGTAAACCCTTAATACAGAGTTTGAGTGGAGTTCAAAAACATTTTAAACACTTATTTTCTTCAAATTGTTCCAGTTCTAGTTTTCTGATCTATATGATAATAAAATTGTTATTAGGGGAATTGTTTTCTGTGATCAGAAATATAAGTTTGTTTCTCCATCAATAAAACACAAAGCTTTATCTGCATTGTGCAAAGTCAACAACACACACAACTTCAGCTTCATAAACTCAGCAGGAGTGTCTCTCCTGCTGTTTGTGTTTCACTATCAGTGAGATTTGTTACTCTTTGTTGGCAGGATACTTTGCAGAACTGATGGACATCCTTGTTTAATTTCTTTATCGTTAACATTTTTAGTCAGGTTTTATGACACAAAGGAGTTTCCCATTTTATAAGTTTGGGTGATTTAATGGTTTCCTAACAAATTTCCTGAATTTCCACAGGGTTTCACTGTGCGGATAAGAACAGACCTTGTGAAAATGGAGGGACATGCATAGATTCACCTTCTCGATGCATGTAAGTAAAACCATAACACTACAACATTCGGTGAAAGATGCACTGAGGTGAACTGAGTTCAACTGATTAAACTGATTCCTCTCCTTGAAATCATCAGTAGTGTTTCCTGTGCAGTTAAGTCGTTGTATTCTGTTGTGTGTTTATAACAGCCACATGTTGGTTTAGTGTTGAAAGGTATAAAATTGATTAGGCCTGCTGATGAGCATCACCAAGCCTCAACATGTTTTGCTGCCTCTCTCATTTCTTGCACCTGTTAAAGGGCTTAGTCAAACATAAATCATAAAGGTTTTTTTTTAAACTTGAATCCTCTCTTTTTACAACAAATATCTGATTATTTTAATTGTATGCTAAACTTTTGGTAATTTCTTTAAGATTTAATTAACTATTTCATGAATTTTCCTTGTTTTGGTGAACTCTTGGATCTTGAGGCTTTTGTTTTTCTAATTGACGAGGGGGATGTGTGGGAGACTGTTACAATAGTTCAGTTGCCTGGGGGGGTCATCTGCTCGGTTTAAAAACCCTGTAAGTTTAGGAAACGTGCTTGAGTGTTTCAGATGAAAGAACTACAGACGGAAGTCTTTGCTTCCCTCCAGAACAGAAAATGTATTATTTTATTGGTGAGAGCTTTGGGTCAATGTTTCACCAGCAATTTAAAATCACTTGTCCCAGGCAGTTAGCCTACATGTGTATGTCAGTTTGAATTTTGTGCAAAGTTGGTTAAGATTTTATATTTTATTGCCAGTTGTAACCATTACAGGCTAGGCAATGTGTAACTTGATAGCATGTGAAGCAGGTAACCACTAACTATCCTATTTTTAATCATTAGCTTTAGCCAAGACAATTGAGCGTCATTCAGTCAATGTATATAATATTTTTAAATACATCATTTTACACCGAACCTACCATCCAATTTAGAAGTAACTGCCTTTGTTTTACGACCTTAAATGAAATGACATCCTCTTACTAAAGGTTGTTTAAAATTTTAACAAAGAAACTCTTATTGTTTAGAATAGTCTTTTAAATCTCACAATTTAGTACCACGGCATCAAAGGCAACATTACCTTTCTCTTTGTTCGTCTCTTTTGTTCTGTTAGTCCACCTTGCTGCAACCAAGTACTTACATGTGTTAAAGAAATTAAATGTGCTTTGGTCTGTGCTGTAATGTTTTTTTTTTAAAAAGCATGAGTTTAAAGGTAAAGCCTTTCTAATGAAAGTGGAAAATAAATGTCAAAATACGAGTCTCCGAGCAGCATAGAGCAGGGGAGCCGAGCGTGGACACATGAGAGTGGTCAGACCAGTACTATGAGTGGTGGAGTCACCCCACCCCTTCCCATGGGAGCCTACAGAAATGGGAGATCCAAAACAGCAGAAAAGATCCATTCTTCCCCCAGATACCTGGCTGTAACCTGGCACCACAGCACAGGGTGCAGAGAAGTTGAGAAGAAAGGCCAAAGCAAAATGAGGGCAACACAGAGGGGAACGAAACATAAAGCAGATACAGATACATGCTTTGCCTTCTCCAAAGAATTTGGAAAACCAATGGAAATTAAGCCAAATGACACTGTTCTAACCTTGTTTTTTTGTTTGTTTGTTTGTTTTGCAGAAAGAAGTTATCTTTATAAACTTGTAAAGTTGTTAATTTCTGTTACAGGAAATTGCTTCTTACATATCAGAAATACTGATTGAATGGCAGGTGCTATTGTCACTGTCCCAAATACCAAATTATCCCATATCTTATTAGGAAAAAAACCAACACATTCTCACTCCCGAGTCGTCACATATTGACGTTTTTCAAAGGTCCCTTTGCGTCCAATTTTGACGCATCAGGTACCCCCCTCGCGTCAGTCCTTGCCGCCCGCGGATTTTCCGGGTTGCGCCACCAGGGGTCTTTGGGTCGGGGGTCTGAGGTTAACCTTAGGGATCAGGATTAATGGTTAAGTTTAGGGACTGGGGTCAGGGATAGGATGTCTACAGTGAACATTAGGTAATTTTAGGCTTTGCAACACGTAGTTGCCATGAATTTCCTACATTTTCTAAAAATGGTTAATTTTACGTATCAGGGTTAATGGTTAATTTTAGGTACTAGGGTCTGGGACAGGATGTCTAAAGTGAATAAATGTAATTTCACGCTTTGGGACGGTAGTATTTGTGCATTTTCTACACTTTGAAAAATTACGACAACAGATTCCGCCCCATCCCGTCAAAATATGACGCAAGGGGGGTACCTGATGCGTCAAAATTGGACGCAAAGGGACCTTTGAAAAACGTCAATATGTGACGACTCGGGAGTGAGAATGGGTTGAAAAAACATAATAAATGGAACAAATTTTGTTATTTTCACTATGTGTCTCTGTGAAAGCTTCCTCTATATAATTTGGGGTTTTTTTAAGTCTTGAACATCAGCACCTGTTACATTTCCAGCACCTGTTACGTTTCTTAAGACATTTGGAGAAATAGTTACAGAATCAATCAATCAATCAAGACTTTATTTGTAAAGCACTTTTAACAGCCAACAGCAACCAAAGTGCTGCACAGCAGAATAAAAATACAATCAGATAAAATCAAATAAACACTTTGGTAAGTAGAAAGAATACAAAAACTTTAAAAAACTGGCCTGCTGCATGTGCTCTCTAGAATTAAAAGCCAAAGAACAAAAATAAGTCTTTAAAAGACATTTAAAATCATCAAGTGATCTGGCAGACCTCATAGAGGGAGGAAGCTTGTTCCAGAGTGTAGGGGCTACGACTGAAGGCTCTGTCCCCCTCAGTCACCGGCCGAGTCCTGGGAACCACCAAGAGCATCTCAGATCTCAGAGCTCTACTGGGATGGTAGTGATGTATAATATCAGACAGATAAGAAGGTGCCAAACCATTTAGACATTTAAAAACCAAAAGTAGGACTTTAAAATCAATCCTAAAAGGAACAGGCAGCCAGTGAAGAGAACGTAGTACAGGGGTAACATGCTCACACCGTCTTGTCCCTGTTAACAAACACGCTGCTGAATTTTGGACCAGTTGGAGACAGTGGAGAAGAGACTGTTCAATTCCACTATAAAGTGAATTGCAGCAGTCCAAGCTAGAAAAGATAAAAGCATGAATAACCCTCACAAGGGTGTTGTAGGGAAGGTAAGACTTAACTTTACAAATAAGCCTTAAATGATAAAAAAAAAAAAAACTGGATCTGACCACTGCACTGATCTGTCTGTCAAATTTAAAATTGTTGTCCAAAATCACCCCAAGATTCCTAATAAAATCACAGTCTGAGTCCAAAGGGCCAACAGCACTGTTTAATCCTGCCAGTAGGTCTGATTGTACAAATCTCAGGACCTCTGTTTTATCTTCATTTAAACGAAGAAAGTTTAGCTCCATCCAGGATTTAGAATGGACTTGTGGCAGTTACAGCTCCATTATAAACAATGGAGTGACCATTCTGTCGTTGAAAATTGATGAGTTTTAAGCAACAACACAAAGTTAATTGTGGCTGTAAAGCACCTTCTTTTAAAGTGATTGGTACAGTCCTAAATGTTGGTTCAACCCAGAGCTTCTGATTATCATTTCCTGGTAAACTAAGGTCATTTATAGTTTTAAATGCTTTATAGCTGGGCTTGTGTGAAAAATACAAAGTGACCTTCAATTATTGTGCCACTGTAAAATTGTCTGAATAACCACTGCTTGGCACATCATATATTCCAAATACTTCTGTAACTATTAGTGTAATTTCCTAACACATTAAGTATTCACTATGATCTTGAGGTATCTTGCAATGTTGAACTTGACAGTGAATGGCGGATCATGTCACCAGGAGTGTGGCCTTCAAGGTGAGCAGTTAGGAAGTCCAACTGAAGAGACTTTGACCCTCAGCTCCCCTGAGAATGTAGTGTATGAAGAGGGCCACTGCAGCCTTGCTGGAGGAGTAATAATTAGGCAGATTGAGAGGGTGTCACTCAGAGAGGAACCAGCTGGAGAAATTGGACGACTGGGGGTAGGGAAAGGGGTAGAAAGAGGCTGAGTTGGACGGAGGGGGGTGAGGTTAGTGTGCGGGGGGCACTGCGTATAGGACAGCTGGTGGATGTTGTGATGGTAATCCAGTGAAGTCAGATCTTTACAAAGAGAAAGCGTAGGGCCAGGTGTTGCCATTGAGCAGTCAGTCGCCCCCATACTGTGAGAGACAAGCTTGTGGAGGAATGAAGCTGGTAGCCCACAGCCTCTGTAGCACATGTTGCCTCTCTCACTGAGCAGCAGCACCAAGATGCAGCTTTTTTCTCTCATTGCATGTAGTCCTAGCGCTCAAGAATCGTCTTCCTTTTCAGCTCAGTGGCAGATCGCAGATTACAACCAGCTCTTTCCCTTCAGATCTGCCAAGCTGAGTGGAAATGAATGTGGATCATCTCTGCTGCCCGAGACCCTTGGATTCAATGGTCTTCTGAATATTATGAATTGGTCGCCCTTGGCCTCAGTAGCAGACTTAACAAATAAATTTTGGGTGTTTTGTCGTGACCCAGTAGCAACTCCTGTCCTCCTAAAACATGATGAAAAAGGACATCTTTACTTTTGAGAAGAAGCAGGCTGTCCACTCAGTGGGGAGGCTTGTTTCTGTTGCTAAAACGTCTGTAACTACTTTACTCTGTTTAATGTTTGGAAAATAACGAGATGATACAAGTGCAAGTACTTTAGGTGAGCACCTATTCTTTGTTTCATTATTTAGTTGTTGTTGTTGTTGTTGTTGTTTTTCTCAGAATGGGTTACACATTCTTCAGATGGGAACTGACTGTGGGTGTATTGTTTTAGTACATGAAGGTTAAAAATAAAATTTTCACTTTATAATTAGAAAAATATCCCCATGCCAAGGCATGTATTTTCTGAAAGACCATAGCAAAGAGACAGATTAGGTTGTTAGCTTAGTTCACGGCATCTCAGGGCTAGTGTTTTCTTTGGCATCTTTATGGTGGATTAGAAAGGAATGCTTAGTAAGTAAGATTCCTCTTCTCCCTCTGGTCCTTT